TACTACCAGTCCTTCATCACCTTAGACGAAATAGGGTGAATACATCTCATATTATTCATTTATAAGCAACAAAGACATCTTGAAAAGAAAAGATTTTATCGCTATAAAATTGTAAAAGTGAAATAAGACAATGGTAAATAACAATTTCTTAAGCCCATTTTTGGATTAGAAAATTAAATAGCCATCTTTTAGTATCTCGTCTCAATAGAGTGACGCTTGGTATGTTTTGGAAATACTGTCGTGCAATTTATTGATGTAAAGCCAGCAGGACTGAGAAATTGTGTCTGTGTCTATTTTCTTATCTCTTGACCTATGAAAACTAGACTAAGTTCAAAGCTTGATCAAGTCTTCTCAGTTTAAGCCAGACACAGAAGATACACAGATGCTCACTCATTTGTAAATCAGCAATGCTCCATATTGTTAAGCATTCCTTACAGCCAAACAACTTATTTACTATCGCTTTATCGCCATTGGGTTTTATGCAGTCTACGCTTTTCTTCAACTTCAAGTGTGAGTTAGGTCTAAAATGAAGGTGATCTCACTAGTTTCATAATATTGTTTGGGAGACTTTCATCTGGTACGAAATTGCATGAAGAGATCTTAAAGTCGATCTCACTAGAAGTCGGAGGCTGATTCCCGTTATACTGCAACTGTTTGGCTGTAATACGATGCTCAGGTTTATAGAGTCAACGAGACATCCTTTCTCGTTTCGAGCTGATCTTTCGCCTATCATATGATGGACATCATCATAATTGGAGCTCATTCTTGTAAGTCTTATGTTAACACTAGGCCGGGAATCAGCCATCGTCTTCTGGTGAGATCGACCTTCGAATATCCTCGTCATGCCCTCAACAAAATTATCTTATAGAATTCATCGAAACGTAATCGCTCTTCCTACCTAGTTTCATAACGCCAATGATGCGATTTTTCTTTCTTATCCATATTATGTTTAAGTATTATGAATTTTATCACATCTATTTTGACCAACAAATGCATCTGTAGATTGATATCCTTCGTCTGGCTGAACCCCAATCATGCTCAATCTTGTTTAATCCCTGCAAATTAGAAGACCCTTAACACTATTTCAGCGTAATTTTATAGAAGCGGCCTTAAACGAAATAGGGTGAATACCTATCCACAATACACCCAATCGGCCTTGTTTCCTGCAATTTTTGGCCAAGATTGGAAAGTGACAAATGCTGGAATCAATTTGCTCCCCTATATTAATCGAGGGCAGCTCTGTTATTAATCCTATTTATAGTCTCATATATTACATTATGTCTGGACAACTACTTAATAATAATGCTATTAAAATGTTTGCATTGCAACATTGAGAACTAGACTCTCTGAAACCTGGCGATGTGATGCGATGCTCCTTTGTTTAAAAATCCAATTTCGCTACTTATGTGATCTAAGATTAGACTAAAGAGGTGTACATGCCTAACCAAATGCAGAGACAAGAAGCTACCCAGCGATTCTTTGACCTCCTGCGTGATTTCAGCGACCACAGCGCCAAGACCCTCTGGCACAGCAGTCTTGTGTGTCATGTCGAAGATAATTTTAGACAAGTGAACAGCCCATATCTCGACAACTCGGGCAAATAGATCGTCAGCTACGATAGATTTATTCTCTGGCTTTTGAATTGCAGACGGCATCACGTAAACGCTGGAGGCATAAGCGGAATCTTTCTGAGCTGTTAGCTGACTAGGCTCCTGGACACTGTTCATTAGAGTTCGAGGCGTGGAACCAGGAACACGAGGCGTAGAGGAGGGCATGAGCGAGGAATGTGACAAGTGTGGTTTCGAATTCTGCTGTGATTGGAGATGTGAGTAAGCATTCGACTTCTCTGCCAAGGATCCAGGAGCCTTGAGCTTCCCGATGCTAGTGACCTTAGTTGTTGTTTCTGTAGCTGCCTGCTCCTGTTCCTGTTCATATATCGAATAAAAAACTTCGCCCATCAAGAAGTAGCCGCCAGAGGTACGAATATCGTTAGTGCCGT